ATATATATATATAATAAACGACTATATATTATATATACGCACATATTATTATATATATATATATAATTAGTCTATATATTATATACACACACACTTATATATATATTATATATATATATATTTATTTATTGATGTAGATATATTATTATATATTGATATTTTATTATATACATGTATATATATACTTATATAATATATATATATGTATATATATATATATATATATATACGTATTTATTATGTTACCTCATACGATTTCATTGCGATCCTCATTTCTGTCTGTATATGCCATCAACGTGCTGTGTGTTGTGTTGCCGGATTTCCTTTCCAAATATATCGCTCTGATATGTGTTTATCATGCTGTCGAAGCCTATTCAGATCCCTGGCACTATACCTTGGTACAATATCATATAATACGTACACCGACTGTTTGTCAATTGCCGCTCAAAAAATTCAAAGTCAACGACGAATATTGTCGATAACTAATCTGCTTACGTGGTGGCTTACAATGTTGTACTACATAGGGAGCGACAAAGAAGTATGCATATCCCAAGTACGTCTGGTCGCCTGCGGGGGGCTGGTGGTGCCATCCCTATCATTGGCGGTATGTCTATTATTTGGCTTGTAATTTTCCTTGTATCTGGCTTGTGAGTGTTGCTTGTATCTCTATCATTGGTGGTATGTCTATATCTGGGCTTGGGAGTGTCACTTATATCTATATATCGGTGAAAGACAAGGGTATGGCTTGTGATTGTTTCTCGTGGTGTACTTGTGAATTTCGTTGCTGTTAAAGCCCTGAGTCTAAGAGCTTACTTCCGAGTATTTCCTTGGTAACTTATCAATTTTTTATGTCACATTCATACCATGAGTGGCTAGCATATATATTGACTTGTGCGTGTTGCTCCTATCACTTCATTACCAACTGGAATATCCTGAAAGTTGCCTTATGAGTGATTCTTGCAATACGTCCACAGCAACACCCACTATCGCCGACGGTGCGCAGTGCGTTTAGCTTGAAAAAGTGTCTTGTATTGGATCCAAACGATTGACCGTCATTCTTCCATAGGGTGTACGTACAAGTGTTATGCCTTAAGCTCGCCGTCACCTGTGTGTTGCCATCGGCGCAGTTTATGTTCTGAGTGCAATTATGGAATGTGAGGCAGTCTGTATCATTAATGCTATCAAAAGCAGGAATCGGTGGGTGCTGTAAGTGTATGCTCAGAAATGGTGATCTTGAAGGTTTTATCATAAAATTTGTATGCTATACTTAGTTTGTCTGCTTTGGTTCCCTTTCGGTGTACTCTGACGCATTCAGGCTGTTATATACCCCGTATATGTATTTGCTTGTATGTCCATACTTCCGTCCAGGCACTACAGCACACCAGTCGACTACTGGTGTATAACTGACATATCATTCGTTAGAATCATCTCAACCGTCTACTATCCCGTACGGACTCATGTCGGTTATCACATCACCTGCAACTACTCTTATTTTGCATGGTGCAGTGTATCATCCCGTTCCTTGAACTGTCACATGACAGTCGACTACTCAAACTCGCTCATTGCGTAAGTTTTGTCGTAGTCACTTGTCCGCTCAATTCATGACTTGTTGCGTAGCCCCGATGGATACATAAAGCCTCGTATACGTGATGTATACTATATATCACCTAGCCTTTCAGGGGTGACCGTGGATTTTTGCGTCTTGACATACGCAGCCACGCAACCTTCTTCTAAGCAAATCAATGCTTTCTGATACTCTTCGCATTAACTGTTCTCGTCGTGCCTATCTACGCCACTCTCACGACAGACGCAATACGGCAATTGCTGGAGTCACAATCTTAGCCATGCTCATCCCAATCATTCGATTCGGCGATCAACTCATTGTAAGTAATGACCACGATGTGCAAATACACCGTAGAGTATAAATTGTACATTCATAAGAGGTTTATGTGTTGCGTGTATCATCATGACTGATTTTTGTTGGCTGCTAAGTATTCGAAGCACTACATCATTCATGATCTGTGCACGCCTGGTCTCTTCACGTAATATATGTATATATATATATACGTGAGTTGTGAGGTATCAATATGCTTGACATAGCTGATGATGGTCCAGTTGGCGATCCCTTTCGTGTCGTTGAACTCCCAGTTGGAGTGTTTCGTCTAATCACTGGCTTGTGCTAAACTGTTGCAGATGTTCGACAATGAGAACGAAATCTGCCGATCACACGCGTGTGCATTCATTCTTATTTGACATTGGTGCATATCTGAGACAAGTTTTTCTGTTGTGCATGTCAACCTGGTGCATACTACATACGGGTCCATCCGAGAGCCTACTCCTTTTAGTATATAAAAATATGTTGCGATGAATGTGGTAACTAAACAGTACGAATTCGCCCATCGATTTCTCAATACGGTTATTAAGATATCCTTCTTGTGTGTGACAACACACTGTCAAGCGCCTTTTATTAGAACTTAATTTCTGCACACGAAAATAAAAGTACTATACCTTTCCTCATATCAGTTGAAACCAAGTACAACCCTAAACCTCCTATCTTTCTCGTCCATGCATATCACAGGAGGACCCTCAACGCGAATACCAAGCGGCTCGAGCGAAGGCTACCTACGACGCCATCGCAGCACGTGCAAGTAAGACTGAGTAGTGTCTACTTCGTACATCCCGGTAGACGTTGGACCATCAATCAATAAATAATCTCGGAACGAGATGACTTTGCTTTCTTAATCAAAATCCGATTATTCCACACATCATCATGATAAGAAATCTGTGCAGGACTTCAATCGTGTTTTTTAAGCCCAGGACCCCGTGTCGGAGACATGTTTCATAGGTGTATTATGTAAAATGGGCTGAGTAGGCTGTAGACTGTACATAGAGTGTAGAGAGTCTACAGTCTATTTATAACTATCTAGTCTCTACACCCCTAAATAAATACACGGCCCTCTGGATTTGGGCCTCTGCTAAATTTTTGATTCCGTTGTAGCGAAACCTTGATTTCCGCTCGAGAATCGAGAATTCGAGACCTTATCCAGGCTATCCAGATTCCAGAGGGCCGTGATAAATACTGATAGAAAACAGGAGCCTGGCCCAGGTCCCAGGACTTTCCTACTCTAGCTAGTAGCTTCCAGCTCCTACTCTCTACTAAATATAGCTCTACTTCTCTCTGTGTCTCAACTGTAGTAGAGTAGCTAATAAATATGTGGTAGTCTCTACAGACGGAGGAAAATTTCCCTACACACAAGAGGACATCTTTTTTTACCAAACAAAAAAGGGATTCGGAGTTTGACTTTGCAGTTTGCAGTTTTGCACCCGACTCTGCCAGGCCTGCCTGGCCAGCCACAACTCACAAGTCCACAACCCCACGGGCCCATTATAAAGTATAATGGCGTATGTAATCCATAGGCGGTTCGGATGTGCTACTTTGGTTTAGAGTCCCCCCCCCCCCCCCCTTGGATTTTGGACTTTCGGCAATTTAAGGACTTATAAATTTGTGTGCATTTTTCATACATTTGGTTCAATATTGACCAAAATATTTAACATGCGTATATATTTGTGAAGTGATGACTGTGCCCCTTGTAAAAAGAAATTTCGGTGCGAAAAGGCCGAGCAGGTTCCAAGCAAAAAACGTACTAATGAGTACCATTATATGGGTTCTGATTGGCCCAGACGTTGGTACAGGTCGCAGTTGTTAGTCGTCAGCCCTACCCCCCCCCCCCCCCCCCCCTCGGATATTGGACCACCAAACGACTTTAAACCAAAGTAGCACATCCGAACCGCCTTATTTATCATTGATGTCTTTCAAAAAATAAAAATCTTGATCCGATAAACGAGAGCTCAACCATAGCCCTCTAAATTGAACATCAACAGTTAAAAATGTGCGAACAATCGGTTTTGTACCTTGATTTATTACTATGTATATCTCGACGGTTGGCCCACCTCTAAAAACTCTGTATTTGTTCATCTTCCTCCCGAAAATATGAAAACTTCCCAAACCCAGATAATAATAAAAATGCTATTAGAGAAAATCAGTTCACATTTAGACCACAAGACCGTCGGAGGTTTGTTTTTGTTCACAATTTTTGAAAATACACCCACAAATACACACAAAATACAAACAAATACGCATAAAATACACACAAAAACACACAAAAACACATATACACACATGCACGTAGCTTGGTAGTGTCACGCCTGTGATGGTAACACACTAGTTACTAACCTTATTTAGCTAATTGAAGTACGCTCTTTCCGACTATTGTATAGAAAATCTTGTACTGTGTAGCTCTCAATATCTTTTGGGCGGTGGAAGAGAAGATTGCTATGATACATGCATGTATGCATGCATCACCTAGTTTAAACTCAAACAAAAAAGGCATAGTATAGCATGAGTAGTATAAGGACGGGGAACAGCAAAGAGAAAGTACTGCGTCAGAAGTGCGTGTGTGAATTAGAGACATGTCTCACTCTAACATATCGTAAGATAAGACTACCTTTGTCTGATGATGCACGTGCCCATCGATGGATCAAAATTCTACAACCTAATGACAATGAAGAAACTTGGGAGAAAGCGTTAAACAAGCGAAAGACTTCTCACAATAATATATTCATAAATGCACGGCACTCCCCGATAAGTCACCTAGTTAACAGGGGGAACGGAATACATGGAGCTCCCAATGCGGTACCAAAGCTTGAGCATCAATGGCAGTCAGATCGTGCGATACTTCAAGTATCACCAGGGTGAGTATGCAAGGGTGCAATGTAAATGCACTAACGACGACGACGTATGTGGAGACGACTTAAAATCTGGCGGTTGTTTCGTTGTTCCTCGTAGCAATAAGAACCGAAAACAGACATTGACATGGGTGAATACGTTCGTTCGTGATGCACGAAAAAGGAAACTGATACTGGCTAGTCTTAGTAATCCCACTTCTAAATCAAAGTATTGTGTAGTCTACCACCACTTTCACTCTGAACAAATCAATAGTAATAACAAGAAAAAGACTGTCGCTTTCTGTGTCACCAATAATATCATCCATTTCCGTATTTGATTGTCACCCCGCCTATCCTCGGCGATGCGCAACGCCATCTCGCCGTTGTATTCCGCTTCCAGTCTCGACAAATCCTCTAGCGGTAATTCCCCAGCGTAGTATTCTAGTATCAATCCTTCGTCCGGCCACAGCAGTTTCTCCCACGGCAGCACCAAATCCGATTAGCAAAGAAACGATCCACAGCAGTCTCTCCCGCGGCAGCACCAAAGTCCCTTGGGCAAACAGCGATTCATCATCATACCATAGCAACTCCACTCACTGTAACGCCACCGCTCGGCAGTCACTTGTTGACAAATCGTCAAGCCACAACACGATGCCGTCCAACTTCATATGTATCACCTTATAAGAACGTCCTGGTCACCTTCACACTGCCCCATAATTGTTTGCGTTATACTCGTCAGCGCACAACAAAGGTTTCGATTGTAGCTAATTGATATCCCCAATATCATGTTATGCATTGTAATACACACACGCCCATAGTGTCTTCTCAGCATAGGAACACTAGCCGTGACTCCTGGATATCTTATTGTCTGTGTCACCTCTCTGACACCTAAAATAAATTTGTACTCTTGTATTGACGTCAACATCATGTAAAGAGCTCTTTATGCGTAAAATCCTCTCGGAGTAAAAGGTACTTGTTGATGAACACTTGTGTCTAAAGCAGAATTACTAGCTGCACAATAAACTTTCCCCGCCATGTGTGTCAGACCTTGTCTATGGTGTCTACTCTAAGTAGCTTGTTGCCGCACATATACTTGCAACAACGTTACCAAGTGCGGTACGTACATCATGTCCTACCCACTTGTCTCCTGTTCATAATATACCACGGTTGATCAACCGTGGCCTCTCTATCCAGTCATGCCCCGGTACTCACAAATCACCCCTTTCCGAGTGTTTGACATTTTTCTGCAAAATTTTCTGCACCAAACAAGAACATATCCTTGGAAACACTCGTACTATGTTTGTGTGCTATATTCGTAAATATAAAAATGTGTATAATATACATCTTTCATCCGTGCGAAAGATAAACAGCAACTCCGTCGACAGCATAAATGACTAGCCGTATTTTTATTATTGTAGAGGCTGTGTTCGCAAACAAATTATCAGCAGTTGTCTATGACCCCAGTCAAGCAATTTACCAAGTAGTCACTTACGTATGCGCAACCTGTCCATATAGGGTTTAACCCTAAAAATCGGAGGTGAGGATTCTACCGCGTCATCATCTTGACTCGAAGACTCGTCTTGCCCAATTTCGCCTAAAGCTTCTACATCGTGAATCCGACTAATGTTTGATCTATTCAATAGTTGGGTCACATGATCATATACCTCGGGAACGTCATTCATTAATTGCTTGAGCAATCGAGTTTCTGCTTGGTATGCAGTTTCTCTGTCAGACCGTATTTTGTTGTAGAAGGCTTTCGCTAGTGATGCGCTCCTCTTTGATTCCTTTGCATTTGGCTGTATCTCGGTAATGTAAGATTCGGTCTATTAAGGCGATACTAATGCCTTAGAATAAATAAATGAGTAGGTAAATTTTAAGTATCGTGTAAATATCAAAGTAAATAAACGAAATGAGACTTTTAGTAAAGTTAAGTATGCCTCGTGAAAACAGCAATACTCTGAGGGATTTTGAGGCTTAGACATTGCCTATATATAATCCTCTCAGTACTGTTTCCGCCGAAGCTATGGTATGTTTCATTGGGGCGAATCCAAGAGACTCATAAAATCCTATCTTTAGAATAAATAAATAATAATAATAAATTCTCTTGATGTCCTTAGTTATTGTCCTAACCAATAACTTGCCACTATCAAGAATTACC